AAACAAAGTAATCTCTTTGAAGCCAACATCCAATGAATGTCTGAAACTGTGTTTAAATATTGAGTTAACAATTATTAATTATTATTAACAATTGAAGACACTATTTGTCTATTCATTTAGTTTTTGCATTCAAAGGAAGTTATTAATAGGGAAGGTGTGAAATAATGCATACAATCTTCTCATTCATACTTCCATTCAATTTAACACTTTTATAATAAATAATTAATTTGATGTGAATTCTGTTGACTGAATTATATTAATAAATAAATAGTGAATTTTGTTAGATTTTGAGCTCATTTATGGTAAAATGATAATAAGTTTTGTAAATGATTTGTTTGTGTTGAAGGGCTGGTGTATTGAAGCCGATTTGGATAGCGAACACATGCGACTAAAGCTATTTTTTATGGATTTACATTCAGTGCCTCGAAATCATTTGCGTTACATCTCATGGATTGCTTATGTAGTCACTCGAGACCCCAGGAATGGTATTCGTGAGAGTATTGTAGTCACCAATTCTCCACACGGCAACTATTATATACAAGATGGCATGGATATGGGCACCATCATGGACACCAACATCCTCTCCCATCAGGTATTCCACCCAAACACCTAAACAAACTGTATTTAATATACAAATAAATATGCTAATTTATAATGCAGTATATAATATGTTAATGCAATTATTGAGACTATTTTGGTGACGGATTCATTTATAAAATTTATGAACATTTTTAAGATAAAAGAGTCGCCAAAGGTCTATCTGGAAATGGAGGGACAGTTGACTGTCCACATTGAATGGTGTGATTCAATGATGCTTTTCAACCATATCTATCATAAATACGATGACATCCCTCGCATTCATTGTCAACAAATGCGGTCAGTATTAGTATATCATATAATTTACAGAACCCGTAGTTTCGTATAATTAAGGGATGTCTGTCATTTCAATTTTACATCAATCAGTCAATCAATTAGATATTGTCATTTTATCTTTCACTTTTAAAATTTATCAAGATTTATTTGAAATGAAAATTTATTTGTAATATTAATTACTTATAATAACTTAAAGAAAACTTCAGTATATAATCCTCAGGCTATGGGTCATTCAAGATGATGACAATTACTTCATTAATTAATTATTAGAAAAGGAAAAATCATCACTAAATCATATATTTGAATAATTTTGGCATTAAATACCAGTAAAATGTAAAACATTTGACATTTAAAGGTAAAGTTTGCCTAAATTTTCAATTGAGTTCACAGAATATATAAACATTTTGTTGATATGGTTGGTATGAATTGAGAATTAGTTTCACTCAAAAAAGATGAAATGTTTGCAAAAAATGTTGAGATTCTGAGTACAAAAAAGGATAATACAGTGAAATAGTGTGTCAACACTTTTACAAGCATTTAAAGTTGAGATTTATATTATATTTTGTTAACAAATCAATACAACAGTACAACAGTTCTCTTCTCTTCAGTCAAATTCTTTCTTATCTTAAGAAAACATTTATTTGAAACACAACTCAAGAAATTTCAATTTTGGCTCAAATTAACCTTTTGGATTTAGCCGCTAAGATATTTATATTATGTTTTTATTAGGTATAAACTATCACAAGTAAAATTTTAGTTAAGATCATTATCAATGATTCATTGTTGATTTTCAAATAGGTTGTGTTTAGTTGCAATTATTGTCAGTGATATATGAAATACAAAATGAACACAATGTCGTGACTTCATGTGAGCTATAATTGAATGCAATTGCACTTTAAATGCAATTCATTTTTCATTGTGTATTTGTTGCCAATGAAATGATTTGTGTTGACAGGCATCCAACACTAACACACAATCATTGGTTATATTTTAATTTTGAATAATAAATAGTATTAGAAAATAAGAATAATGGTTGCAAATAGTAGTAAATGTTATTAAAAGCAAATTTTCTTGACTTACTTTCAAACAGTTCATTAGAAATACTCTTTTATCGATTACTTAATGAACTGAATTTAAATTTGAAACCAAATGTGGAATTGCAGTCAATTTCTCTTTGGAGTCGATTTTGAGTATTAAATGGAATTTAGAGAAGATTT